CGAGGCCGGGGAGGAACACGGTGGCTGCCACCCGGTGAGCGTGTGTGTCCCCTCGCCTCCGCCCTAGGGGAGAACGGGGGCTCAGTCTATTTCCCTGCAGATGCCCCCCCCCCAGAGCGACACCCGAGCACAGAGCAGGAGAAGCCCCGAAGCCCAGTGGCCGGACGTGGCCACGGGAACAGCCACATGAGGGAGCAGCCCCAGGACGGCCTTCCCCGTGCCACCGAGGCGAGAGCCACAGACAGGCCAAGAGTCAGCCCCTTCGCAAACCCCAACGCTCTGCCTCCCCGTGCGCCACGACCTGTCCCGAGACCCTCGCGAAGGCTCCACAGAGGCCAGAGCCGCTGGAGACAGAGCGGGGCGCCAAGTCCAGCTCAGGGGACAGGGGGCTCCCTGGGGCAGCTGCTGGGGACGCCTCTCCCAAGCACTCTGTCCCCCCGACACGACAGTGGGGCGGGTCCCTCAGCACCCGGCCCCCGACTCTGGCCGTGGGGCGGGGTCCCTCGGCTCTCGTGACCGGGGCCCGGGACGCCTTTCCGCCGCGCGGCCCCCAGGCTGCTCCCGGCACACGGGCCCCTTTCCGGCAGCGCGAGCCGCAAACTCTCGTCCAGAGGCGGGGAGTCCTGCCCAGCCCCGGGAAGGCCACGCGCCGGCAGAGAGAACCGGCTCGGACAGAGCACCGGCCCGCGAGGAACATCACGGCCGCGCCACAGAGCCGGTGTCGGGTGCCCGCGGCCCCGTGCCCTGAAGCTTAGGGGACCCTCGCTGAGGTGCATCTCTCAGTATGAACACCCAGGGGTCCGTTCAGGTACTCGGAGTTTCATCCGTGATGTGGTTTAAATGGCGGGCAGCGCCAGGGGCACTCTCGGGGCGCAGGCCAGCAGTGCGGGGGCGGCCTGCGGCCTTGGGGTCAAACCCAGGACCTCTGCATGCTGGACACGTGGACTCCGGCCTCTGACAGGAGTCACCTGAGCCTCCGCACCCCCCCTCGTCCAGGAGCCTGGTCTGCTTGTGGGTCCGACGGCCACAGGGCGGGAGACAGAGTGACCGAGAGCCGCCAGTCTGCTCTGCCAACGGTCACCTGTGGGCCGGAACCAAATACAGCAGGGCGGGCGCTCACCCACACGCGGCTCACCTGGGTTCCAACCCCGCACCCCAGACGGTCCCCCAAGCCCCACCAGGAGTGACCCCTGAGAGCAGAGCCAGGACTGACCCCTGAGCACGGCCGGGTGTGGCCCCAAAACAAAACGAAACGCCCACTTGACACCAAGACCTGAGAGCGACAGTCACACCCTCCGAGCGGGTCAAACATCTCCGTCAGAATCTAAGAGATCAATGCCAAGGGCAGGAGACCCGGTCCTAGCAGGGAGCTCGCCCGGGAGGGGGCCCCGGGCACACGGGGGGGGGGGGGGGGGGTGATGGAACTGGCACCCTGCTGTAAGTCAAGGTGATTCGATGTTTTAAATAAACTTTGAACGTCATTTTTACAGATATCTAATCTCTGATCTCTCTCTCTCTCTCTCTCTCTCTCTGCCCCACTCTCCCTCCCTCTCTGTTTCTGGGCCACGCTCAGCAATGCTCGAGGCTCACTCCTGGGTCTGCACTCGGGAATCACCCTGACGGGCCTGGGGGACCATCTGGGGTGCCCAGATCAGCTACACGCAGACAAGAGCCTTACCTACTGCACTCTCTCTCCAGCCCCTAGAAATATTTTTTAAGTTGAAGCTTCGCAGCCAGAGAGATGGCACAGCAGGTAGGGGTCTGCCTTGCACACGGCCCCCTGGGCTCGGTCCCCGGCACCCCATACGGCCCCCAACTGCCAGGAGACCCCCAAGTGCAGACCCAGGAGTCAGCTCTGAGCACAGCCGGGTGTAGCCCAAAACCAAAAAAAAAAAAAATTTAAGTCAGATATTATGAAAGCGAAAGTTTCAGACTTGAGCTACTAATGATCTCATTTGCAATAAACAAAAAGTTCACGTTACAAGAAGAACGTCAAACATGCCACTGTCACAAACAAGTCCCATTGTTCATCGATTTGCTCGAGTGGCCCAGTAACATTGTGAGACTTGTTACTGTGTTTGGCATCTTGAATACTTCACGGGGAGCTTGCCAGGCTTTGCTGTGTGGGCGAGATACTCTCGGTAGCTTGCCGGGCTCTCCCAGAGGGGCGGAGGAATCGAACCCGGGTCGGCCACGTGCAAGGCAAACGCCCTACCCGCTGTGCTATCGCTCCAGCCCATGTGAGGAAAGAAAAAAAAGAAAGAGAAAAAACGAGAAAAACAACAATGGAAGGAGACAAATGGGGCTTCGGGGGCTTGTCTGGCGCCCACCAGCCCAGCTCCACCCCCAGGTCCCTGAGCACAAGGTCGGGTCTCGGCCCTGAGACCTCTGGGCGTGGACTGGACTCAGAACGGTGACAAATAACTTACCAAATGTACCTTCCCAAGGAGTAATCATATCCGCAATTTTGCGAAACAAACGGCCGACTTTAGTGCCAAAATATCTTGGTTTTGGGGCTGGAGCGATAGCGCAGTGGGGAGGGTGCTTTCCTTGCACGCGGCCCAACTGAGTTCGATTCCCAGCACCCCATAGGGTCCCCTGAGCACCGCCAGGAGTCATTCCTGAGTGCAGAGCCAGGAGGAACCCCTGGGCATCGCCGGGTGTAACCCAAAAAGAAAAAAAAATTTTGGTTTTGCCTTTAACATGATCATATACGTGCTGGAGCGATAGCACAGCGGGGAGGGCATTTGCCCTGCACGTGGCCGACCCGGGTTCGATTCCTCCATCCCTCTCGGAGAGCCCGGCAAGCTACTGAGATTATCCCGCCCGCACGGCAGAGCCTGGCAAGCTCCCCATGGCGTATTCGATGTGCCGAGAACAGTAACAAGAAGCCTCACAATGGAGATGCTGCTGGTGCCCACTCGAGCAAGTCGATAACAGGAGGACAGTGACAGACAGTGGATGTACGTGCATCTAATTATCCCTTAACATAACTAACTGTTATTCTGATTTAGGATTTTCTGAATTAAAAATGAGAACACGGCTAACTCTTAAATATTCACACACACGAACATTGTATTGTGTATTTTTACGTGCTCATCTGCAAAATACTAGATTTCTCTGCTTCATTCAGAAAGCTACAAGAACCAGCTGCGATAAAGCAGCAGAACCCTAGGAATCCAGGGACTTCGGGGCTTCCAAAACCCGCTGACCGCGGCGACCTTCAGGACAGGAGGCCTCTGGGGCCGAGCTAGCGGCGAAGACGCCTGAAGCCAGGTGAGCCTGCGCGCGGGAAGGCTGGCGTCTGGCTCCACCTGCTGGGGCGCCGCGACATCCCCAACCGCCGCACCAGTGCCGAGAGGCTGGCGAGGGCTTCACCACACAAAGAACTCAGGAGTCGCCTGCTGCGGGCACGGCCGCTCCCTCTGCGGGCACCATCCATCCGTCCCGGCACAGGACCGGCCCCAACGGGCACAGGACGACCATCCACAGAAGGAAAGGGAAACAGCTGGGCCACATTCGGCGACTGTCAAAGCGACAGAATTGGTTCAGGACCCGCTGGCACTCCGGGGCCGCAAGGAGCTGCCGCTCTGACCCGAGCCGAGAGGGACTCAGCTCGCGCAGAGCCCGGCGGGAGGGGCCCAGACAGGCTCTGCGGCAGCGAGCGCCGAGTGCAGAATCAGAATCACTCGGGTCGCCTGCCCCCTAGAGAGAGAAGCACAGAAAAGCTTCACCGGCAGGTTGTGGGGTCTTTGATGTCACGCAACGGTTGGCTTGTATAACGCAACACGTGTGTCACTGCAGAACTGGCACAGGCGCGAAACATGAACGTGAGGGGGAACCCTCCTCCCAGCCAGGGAGCTGCACATCCCAGCCTCCCGCCTCAGCGGGCACACGGCGGAGCCCAGCAGAGCCCCACCAAGCAGCCCCATGGTCTTGCCACCACCTGAGACGACAACCTGTCTGCACAGCCCAGGATGAACGATGGAACACGGAGATCAGGGAGTCCACAGTGGCTGGGAGACCAGGACAGCACTACCTGAAGGCCGGACACGGCAGAGCCACGGGGAACTTACATCAGGGACCGCATGAGGGTCCACAGGAAACACGACCACAGGGGGCTCACGAGGGTCCACGGGAAACAGCATGTGATGCGGGAATGCCCTGGGGTCCCCTGCAGGCAACCCCATCACGTCCCCAAAGCACACCCAAGAGAGCAACACTCTGGCCAATGTGGGTCCCAGGAGTTCACGGCTCAAACACTGCATATAATACTGATCTTATTTCTCAAACCCACAGAAAACTTACATTTCTTTAGCTATACACCAGGGAGAAGAATAAATGTAGTTACCTACATTCCAGATGGGCGGGACAGTCAGGCATAAACAAAAGAGCCTTAAAAACGAGGGGAAAAAGAGCACTGTAAAACCTGGGGCCGGAGAGATAGTACAGCAGACAGGGCATATGCCTTGCACACGGCCCGCCCGGGTTCAACCCCTGACAGCCCATTTGATCCCCAACACCGCCACAAGCGGTCTCTGAGCACAGACCCAGGAGTGATCCCCGGGCACCTCTGGGTGTGGCCCAAACGCAAACAAACAAAGAAAAAGAGAAAAAAGAAAAAGGAATGTAGAACCTGATCACAGAAGCAGTCAGAGAGAGAGGGGCTGGAGCGACAGCACAGCGGGGAGGGCGTCTGCCTTGTACAAGGCCGACCCGGGTTCGATTCCCAGCATCCCACAGGGTCCCCCCCGAGTACCACCAGGGGTGATCCCTGAGTGCAGAGCCAGGAGGAACCCCTGAGCATCGCCGGGTGTGACCCAAAAAGCAAAATAAATAAATAAATCGTTTAAAAAAAAAAAACAGAGAGAGACATAACAGCCGTCGCGTAAACGATCGGGTGCCGGAATCACAGAACGAACCCAAGAGCCGAGAGCACCAAGTGACCGCCAGCTCGGGCAGAAGAAAAGGCACCTGGGCGGGCGAGCGCGGGCACTGACCGTGGATCAGGGAGCCGTTGAGCCACTGCATGTAGTAGTTCTGCGGGAAGCACAGCAGCACCTCGTTGCTGATGATGGAGAACGGCAGCAGCAGGACCGCGCCCGCCGACACCGCCAGCGTGAAGGTGCAGAGGAACAGCCTGCGGGGGGCAGGGGGGAGGGCGTCACGGGCAGCCTGGGCGGGGGCAGGTGAGAGAGGACAGGCAGGCAGGCCTGGTGTGGGGTGTGTGGGGTGGCTCCCCACCCTCCGCCACCCCGCAGAGGCGCCCGGGGAGGGAGGGGGGCGGCACCCTGGGGAGCTGAGGACCCGGCTGGAGCTGTGGGCAGCCTCGGGCCACGAGGGGCCCGTGGCCTGCACCAGACCCGAGCATGGCAGGCGCCCCCTCAGGCCAGGGGGGATGTGGGTGGCCGTGGTCCAGCTCCAGGCGAGTTCCCCTGAGGGGAAGGGGTCCCTGAGGGCGCCCCTGGGCCGGGAACCTGGCGCCTTCCCGCCTGGGGGCCGGCGCCCTCTTGTGGCAGCTGGCGGAAGTGCGGCCTGGGCGTCAGCCCTACCCCAGCTCAGTGGGGAGCAGTTTCTGGGGCAACTGTGGGGGGTGGGGGGCACCCAGGCAGCAGCCCCGGCACAGGACAGTGCTCCAGAAGGAAAGGCTCAAAGACGCCGTGTGGGGAAGGGACGGGCTGCTCCCAGCCTCTCACCGGCAGCAAGGCCCGGCCTGCCACCCACGGGACGCCCAAGGCCTAGAGATGTGGCCAGGGTCCCCGCCGTCAGCCCCACTGGGGACTCCTGCAAGGACGAGCGGGGGCGGGAAGGAGCCACGGATGCCCAGGAAGGGGCGGGGTGGGGGGAGCAGGCGGCCAGGCCAGGGCAGGGCTCCGGCCTCCTCGAGGTGGGTCACACGACGCCCAGGGAGCGCCTGGTGCCATGGCGGTCCTGCTCTGGAACACCCGGCACGTGGCCCGTCCCCCAGCACCCGTCGAGCAGATCTCAGGGTCCCCCTGGACACTCCGCATCGTGGGGCACCGCGCCCAGCTCCTCGGGGCATCCTGCCCGGGCTCCCGAGGGCTGTGTGGGAACAGGGTCCCCGCGGCCTGACTGCACGCTCCCAGGAGGAGCGTCCACACTGTCACGAGCAGACGCGACAGAGGGAAAACAAGCAAGCAAACACCTGAGCCCTAAGACACGTTCCAAGTCCAGGGCCAGAGCGAGCACCGCAGGAAGGGGTGGGGAGGGGTGTGCCTTGCCTGCATTCAATCCCGTGTCCCGTGTGGCCCAAACCCGCCAGGAGTGACCCCTCGGTCAGCCCTGAGCACCAGGGCTGCAGCCCCCACGACAACACGATAATACATACGAGATCCTGTTGACTATGGCGTCTTCATCTTCGTGTTCATCTGCAAAAATGTTACATGTTAATATTTTTATCATGAAACAAAATACTGACGTCTGAGAATAAAAATTTCAAGGAGCAACGCACAGAAAAGATTTTAAGAGCGTTTACTTCGGCACAAACCCAAATTTATTTTTTTTTCTTTTTTGCTTTTTGGGTCACACCCGGCAATGCTCAGGGGTTACTCCTGGCTCTGCACTCAGGAATTACCCCTGGCAGTGCTCGGGGGACCCTATGAGGTGCTGGGAATCGAACCCGGGTCAGCCGCGTGCAAGGCAAACGCCCTACCCGCCGTGCTATCGCTCCAGCCCCACAAACCCAAATTTAAATCAGACAGGACATAATAAGCTGTTCTGGTTAACGAGTCAACCTGATTCTTTTGTGAAAACTTCCATCGTAAATTAAAATCTTCCAAACGTCCATGGAGAAAGCGAGCAGGCCCGAGGGTGCCCTCCAGCAGGCTAGCTCACCGGGGGTGTCGCAGGGAACGGCCGAGAGGGCCCCTGGGCCGCCCTGCCCGGCAGAGGTGAGTGGAGCTTTCTGGGTCCTTCTGAGCTGCTGCAGCCCCTCATGTGGTCACGCCCACTGCAGGGGGCAGCTGGGCCGCCCGGGCGATATTCGGGATTACTGGCCTGTGACCGTCGTGACCGCCCGCTGCCCAGCAGCGTCTCAGCCGGAGGGTCGGCAGAGAACTGAGGCCCCAGGGGTCGGCCGTCAGCCCGAGGGAGCTTCGTGCCTCCACGTCCCTGTGTGCCCCGACACGGTGGGCCAGAGCAGCCCCCGCGCTCACTCCTGACTGTCCCGCCCTCGTCCCCGTTTCCCTACGAGGCCCGTCTGCGGGTCTGTCCCTGGGTAGCAACCGTCTGAAAAGACACGTGCCGCCCCCCCAGCCGGGGCGCCTGTGGGGGGGGGGGGTGTCTGCAGCCCCCAGACGAGGGCCTGGGGGAGCCCCTGCCGCAGGACCGGCCGGGAGGGCGAGAGGAGAGGGGCGGGCAGGCCCAGCCCGAGGTGGCCACTTGCCTGATTTCCGCTTGTACCGCGTGATGATGAAGTAGGAGATGACGTAGAGGACGGCGAAGAGCAGGAAGCAGATCTGCAGGGAGAGCACAGCCTCGCACGCGGCCCCTCCCCGCCCGGCCCGTGCCACCCGCGGCCCGACAGCCACGCTCGCCCACCAGAGGCAGAACGGCCCCGCGCCACCACCGCCCACTGTCCCCGCGGCCTGGGGCCCACCCTGCAGCCTTTCGAAAAACACGGGCCCAGCCCAGGGCGGGCACTGCTCTCACTGGGGAGCCCAGAAACCCCCACGCGCCAGGGCCATTGCGGGCCCCTTGGGCGGTCATCAGAGGCCCCGGCACCCGCATCCACGGGCCACAGCGCAGGCGATGAACACCTCACTCAGGGGAGCCGCCCCGAGTGCCCGATAAATAGTTTAAAAATAAAACGTGTAAATCCCTTTCCTGCCACCTTGGCCGGGCAGACAGGGCAGAGGGGACACGGGGAAGAGGGTGAAAGGTGGAAGTCTGGACGGTCAGCGGGAGGGAGACGGCGCTGGGCTGAGCCCAAGGACCTGGCGGTGGGGGGGGGGACTGCACGGCCACCACCAAGCCCCCAGGACATGGGCTGCCCCGAGCATCTCTCCTCCCCGCCCCGACACGCCCGGTCACTTTGCATCCCCGCGTGCTGGAGACATCGTGACGAGACACCGTCCCCAGCACGCTGGACGTGCAGCCACGACTGTCCCGTCTGTCGCACTGCCCCGGTGGGCCATGACCGCCTTCAGACGGTGCTGACAGAGAAACAAGAGCCTCGTGGGCCGCGGCTCCTAGAAACACGCGTCCACTGGCCTCAGGCGCCTGCCGTCCTGGCCACGAGGTTCCGACCTCCAGAAGCACCGGGACCCGGGATGGACAGTCCAGCCGCCTCCCCAGCCCGCACCTGGTTCCGGGCCTGGCTGGGGTGCGAGTGCTGCCCCCCGAGTGAGGATGCCCCCCCAGCCAGTGTGCCGGGGGCTTCAGCCCAGGCACCGCGTGGCTCCCCCACCAGTCAGTCATCCCGGCACTGAGGACCACCCTGCCGGACATCAAGGAACGTCCTCGCTACTCCCCCGGGGAGGGGGGGGGGCACCGTCCCAGCTGTCCCGGTGCAGACCGCGGAGACGAGCAGCCAGGTGGGCTGGCGCCGGGTGCCCCGGTGAGAGCAGGACGTTCTCGTTCGCCCACCCCGGGGAGTGCTCTGCTTCGTGACGACAAACGACACTCCCTGCTGGAACCCCAGCGGACCGGGACCAGCGCGGGAGCCAAGGGCCCGAGAAAGGGACCCCGCGGCCAGCCCCCCTCTCCGCAGCCACCGCAGGGCAGACGCGGCCTCCAGTGCTCCCTCCACGTCCCTCCCCACGCCACGCCCACCGCCAGGCAGAGGCGCTCGGGACAGGGCCAGCCGCTGCCCCCGGGCTCCATGTCCCGCCCAGCCCCGTCCCGGCACCTTCACGGAGCTTCTCCCAGGGGGAGGCCTGGGCAGCAGAGTGACTGGGTGGCCACTGCCACGGCTGCTCTCCACAGACCAAGCAGGGCGACCTTCCCGGTCATGACACGCGCCTTCGAGCCTCACTGCCAGCGGCCCAGGGAGAGCCCGGGCAGGGGGAGGGGAAGGGGGAAGAGGGGCGGGCACCAGAAGCGACAAGAGCTTCGGGCTTCCAGCTCCCCGTGCTGAGCCCCATCACCCCCTTTCCACCAGCCCACAGGACGTCAGGTCTCAGTCGCCAAGTGGCTTCCGCTCGGAAAGTTCTCTGTGGCTCCTTCGAGCAGATCTGACTTCTCGCGCGGAAGCGTTCCGGACAAACTCCCGCAAGCGATGACCGACGAAGACGGACACAAGCAGCTTCCGGAGGGGAAGGGCGGGGGCCGCCGCCTGGCCACAGGGCGAGGGCACGAGACACGGACCCCACGCACCCGCCGCACCCCACGGCGGCCACAGCCACTGTGCCCTGACGGAACCAGAAGGCTGCCAGGGGAGGCTGCGGTGGGGGGGCCCCCATGAACCTGTCACCCCGTGAAGGGGCGTCCCCACCCGTCGCCCCATGAGGGGGGACCCCCTGCGCCCACCTCTCTCCCGCACAGCACGGCTGCTTCCTGCCTCCCACGAGCTGAGTGGGGCTCTGGGCGGGCGCCCCCATGCACACGGGCAGCGGCCCCAGCTGGGCCGCACACTCTCCGCTCCCTGGCGTAGACCCTCATGGGGGGTGACAAGGCCATCCCCGCAGGCCCACCCGCACGGCCAGGCACACGCTGATGGGCCCAGGGGCGCCTGCTGGCTATGGGGTCTCTGGGGAGCCTCCGTCTTAGCCCCCAAACTTGCTTCCTGCCCAACGATCCCCTTCCAAAAAATGATTGGCACCCCTGGAACTCGACCTCCTTTAAGCACGCATGCAGGAAGTGCCCCAGTACCCCCTCTCGACTGTGTCAGCGGGCCCAGGCAGAGGAACCCTCTGGACGGCCCTGCCCCCGGACGGCCCCAGCCCCTGGACTGTCTCAGCCCCCGGACTGTCCCAGCCCCCAGGCTGTCCCAGCTCCCGGGCTGTCCATGCCCTGTGGGACCCCCTGGAAAGCCCAAGCACACGCTGCCCATGGCCAGCAGGCGCCTGGGGGCACGGCCCTCCGTGCCCAGCTGGAGGGACGTGGTGAGTGACACCCCGCCAGGCCCCCAGCGTCGTCTCTGGCCCCCTGACCAGGGCAGCAGTGGGTGCGGCTGTGGGAGTGGACGGTGGCCTACGGTGGGCTTCCCACCCCCACACGCTACAACTAGTGCTACGTCTCGGAGCACCAAGGCTCTCTGGGCTCGGGGGACAGGGCGGCGGTCACGGCCCTCACGGCCCAGCACGGGCCGAGCGAGGCAGGAACCGCCCACGTCACGTCTTGCAGAAGCACGAGGGGTCGAAACTCAGAAAAGACTCAAACCACCACAAAGCTCTTCCCCCCGGAGCCTCCACCAAGCTCCTGTTCTGCGGCGTCCACGCCACTGGCCCACACGGGGCAGCGTGCAGCTCTGCGGCCTTGCTCCGTCCCGTCCCCAGCCCGCAGCGACTCGAGACAGTGCTCGGCCACACGACCGGGCTTCCCGCTGTAGGGTTCCTTCAGCTCCGCTCCGCTCGGGAATGTTCCTGAGGGACTGGGGGGCGGGGCGGGGCGGGGACCCCCTCAGCATCACCCACAAACCACAAAGGCCTTGGCCGGTGACCCGCAGGCCAGGCCAGGGGGCTGGACGGGAAGCACTGGCGGCTGCCAAGTGAACGGCAAGGGGCGTTCCTGAGGAGACGAGACCTGAGCTTCTATTTCCACATACTCCACGGGGAACCGGAGTTCGCTGTGACCGCGGGGCGGGGCCCGGAGTGGCCGGGAGGCCTGCATGGAGAGCCGGGGTGCAGGGGGACACGACCCAGCAGCTCCGGGCCCTGTGGACGCGGCCGAGCCGCAGCGGGAGCCAAAGGGATCCGTGAGCGTCCGACATAAGCTCTACGCCCCTGAGAGGGAAGGGGAAAAAGCAGTTCCGGTTAAAACGCCTTCAAAAAGCAGCAATTTGGGGCTGGAGCGATAGCACAGCGGGTAGAGCGTTGGCCTTGCACGCAGCCGACCCGGGTTCGATTCCCAGCATCCCATATGGTCCCCCGAGCACCGCCGTGGTAATTCCTGAGTGCAGAGCCAGGAGTGGCCCCTGAGCATCGCCGGGTGTGACCCAGAAAGAAAAAAAAAGCAGCAACGTAACAGCAGAGGACCAAAACTCGCGCTCTGAAAGCTACACGATGCTGGGGGCTGGAGCAAGAGCACAGCGGGGAAGGCGCTTGCCTTGCAGGCAGGCGACCCGGGTTCCATCCCCGCATCCCATAGGGTCCCCGAGCACCACCAGGAGGAGTTCCTGAGTGCAGAGCCAGGAGGAACCCCTGGGCATCCCGGGTGTGACCCACAAAGGCTACAAGACGCTGTTGAGAGAAACTACGGCCAGCGTGTGGAAGGAGCCGCCGTCTGCTGCCCAGTGCTGAGCGCCGTGGAACAAGCGCACACCCGTGGGCCAGGGAGGGGCACAGCCGTCAGAACGTGCCCGAGGCCCGGATCTGGGCCTGACACACGCAGTCCACACACGTGCACAGTGTGTAGCGGGAAGGAAAAGGTGAAGCCAAGATCACGGCATCCGGTGGGCAAGCCACGCGGCCCGGAGGACTCAGCGAGCACCAAGCCCGAGAGAGAGTCACACTCATGGCCCAGGCCAGAGGTGGCACGAGGGGCCAGGCCCTGGGGCCAATGGCACGCTGGACCCCTCCCCCCCCGGGCACGGCCCTGGGGAGTTCGGGGAGCTCAGGGGTTCTGAGTCGGCTTCTGGGGTGACGGAGCAGAACCCGGGTGAGTCCGGAGGGTCCGACGGACCACAAGCGGGGCCCACACCCCACGACGGAGCCCTCCAATCTGAGACAAAGGTCCAGCGTGTTGCTTCGGTGGCAGGGGCCGGTGGGTGACACCGTGCAGGTGACGCTCAGAGGGCAGAAGAGGCCCCCACAGATTCCAGAGGAAGCCACAGAGGGGCCAGGCTGCGGCTCAGGGAGCACAGGCCTCGCATGCAACGGTCCCGTCAGGCGCCACGACACAGGCCACTTCACAGACGTTCCACGGTCGAGCCGGGAGCACCCAGCGATGCCCGGAGCCGCTCCGCCCCAGAGGAAGGCAGACGCCGTCTTCCGCAGAGCCAGCCGTGCCCCACCCAGACACAGAACTGTTACTGCGACTCAGGGCACGGAAGCGCGAGTGCTGGAAAGACGCGAAACACGCACCCGCTCAGAGGGTGCAGGCGGGGACCCGTGTCTAGGCAGCACCTCCTCGCCCGGTCACCCCGCGCCTGCGCCCACACGGACGCACTCACCAGCCCGCCCAAGGGACGGCCGAGGCGAGCAAGGCGGGGAAGGTCAGCCCCGCACAGCCTCCCCTCAGTGTCAGCCGCACAGCGTCACCTGCAAGCGTCACCTGACAGCCTCCCCACACAGTCTCACCCATACTGTCACCCGCTCAGTGTCACCTTTAAGCATCACCCGACAGCCTCTCCCACCCACACAGCCTCACCCGCACAGCCTCACCCACACTGTGTCACCCACGAGGCAGAACCGGCACAACCTCACCTGCACGATGTCACCTGCACAGCGCCACCCCACAGCCTCATTCGACAGCCTCACCGCACGGCGTCACCCACACTGTATCACCCGCACAGCGTCACCTGCAGCGTCACCCGCACTCAGGGTCCCCTGCAGCAGGGACGAGAGCAGACGGGGGTTCCTGTGGTCCCAGTACCCCACCCCCCGCAGCACGAAGCGAAAAGCGAGTGTGGAGCCAGGTCAGTGGCCCCTGCGTGGTCCTCTGGGCGCTGGTCACCACTTTCCCGGGGACATGACCCGGGACATCTCCGAGCGGGTGCAGGGGACGCCCTCACTCGGCCACAACGAAGCTGGCTGGACTGGCCAAGGGCTGATGGCTCGGACCCTGCCGCCCGAACCTCAATGGCCACCGGGCTCCCGCCCCTCAGTGACCACTGGGCTCCCCGCCCCTCAATGACACCAGAGCACACGGGGCAGAGGTGCACAGCGGCGGGAAGCCGGGAGTGGCAGATCCGGGGTGCAAGCCAGGGTGGGGCACCTGGGAGCCACTTCCCACCGCAGCAGTGACCCCCCGCAAGGAGTGACCCTGATGGGCCGGGAAGGCTGCCCAGGCTGCGCTGCCACCAGCTCCCAGGCACCCGGTTCGGGGGCAGGGGGTCTGGAATCGGGACGCCCACAGGCTGCAGGGCGGCTGGCACAGACCCCCACCCCCAAGCCACGGGCCAGCCCACAGGCGCGCCCGGCGGGCACCGGGGCTGGGAGGCGAGGGGCGAGGGACACCAGCAGCGGGCGGCCGGCGCCCGGCCCTTGGGGCGCCCAGCAGCGCAGGGACCGGACGCGGGCGGAGAGGAGCCGGCCAGGGGCCACGCGGGCCGAAGGGGCAGCGCGGGGCGGAGGCGGCGGCGGCAGGAGGGCGCGGGGCCGGGGGGCTGCAGGGACGGGCCTGGGACGGGGACGGGGGCGGGGGCGGGGCCGGGGGCCGGGGGACGGGGCCGGGGGCGACGGGGGGGCGCGGGCGCCAGGACAGGGCCGGGGCCGGACAGCAGCCGGGCGGGCTCACCGTGGACTCCCGGACCTGGCTGTGGAAGAGCTGCTCGCGCGCCGACACCTCGTCCAGCGCGTCCATCCTCCCCGCCGGGCCGCGCCTGGGCCGCCTCCGGAAGCCGCGCGGGGGGCGGGGCCGGGCGCGCGCGTCAGCAGGGAGCGCCGGCGCGCGCGAGTGGCGTCACGGCCCGCCGGCCGGCCGGCGCTCGGGAGGGGTGGGGCGGGGGCGGGGCGGGGCTATGATGGGGCGGGGCCGGGGCGGGGCGGAGCTTGCGAGGGGCGGGGCTACGACGGGGCAAAGCTGGGGCGGGGCGGGGCGGGGCTAGGGCTGGGGCGGGACTAGTGTGGGGCGGAGCTAGGGCAGGTGCAGCTCCAGAGGGGCGGAGCTAGAACGGAGCGGCGCTAGGACGGGGCGGAGCTAGGGCAGGTGCAGCTCGGGAGGGCGGGGCTAGGGTGGGGCGGGGCTAGGGCTGGGGCGGGGCTAGTATGGGAAGGAGCTAGGGCGGGCGCAGCTCCAGAGGGGCGGAGCTAGAACGGAGCGGCGCTAGGACGGGGCGGAGCTAGGGCAGGTGCAGCTCCGGAGGGGCGGAGCTAGAACGGAGCGGCGCTAGGACGGGGCGGAGCTAGGGCAGGTGCAGCTCCGGAGGGGCGGAGCTAGAAAGGAGGGGCGCTAGGACGGGCGGAGCTAGGGTAGGTGCGGCTCGAGAGGGCGGGGCTAGAAAGGGGCGGGGCTAGGACGGGGCGGGGCTAGGGCGGGCAGAGCGGAGCTAGGGCAGGAGCAGCTAGGTAGGGAGGAGCTAGGGAGGAGCGAGGTTAGGACAAGGCGGGGCCAGTGGGCGGGGCCAGGGCAGGCGCAGCTCGGGCACGGGGCTAGGGCGGGGCGGGGATGTGGGCGGGACCCGGGCGGGGGCGGAGTCGGGCAGGGTCGGCGTCCAGCTGGGGGGCGTGTGGGAAGGGCGAGCCTGGATGGTCTCAGCGTGTGACCAGCGGGACTGTGCGCTCTCGGGCCAGGCGGCAGGGAAGCCCTTACTGCAGCCCCAGTTAGTGCCCCCTCCCGCTGTCGGCTGCCCACACCCGGTGCTCCACTGAGCACCCGCCGGGCACTGCGCCGGGCAAGGGCAAGCGGAGCTGTCCACGGGGCTGGAGCAATAGCACAGCGGGGAGGGCGTTTGTCTTGCACGCGGCCAACCCGGGTTCGAATCCCAGCATCCCATATGGTCCCCTGAGCATCGCCAGGTGTGACAACCCCCCCAAAAAAAAACAGCAGAGCTGTCCACTGCAAGGCTCGCTCTGGGGCCAGTGACAGGCAGCGGGCAAGGAACTGACCCGGACTCGATCTCCAGTATCCCATAAGGTCCTCGGAGCATGGTCAGTGATGATCCCAGAGTGACCATGAGCATGGCAGAGTGTGGCAAAAAAAAAAGAAAGAAAAAGGAAAGGAAGAAAGCGGAGGAAGGGAAAGAAGGAGGGAGGGAGGGAGGGCCAAGCGGCCCAAGTAGATACAAGGTCAGCCAGGGTTATTGCGGGGTGCACGCTGGCTAGACCCCCAGAGCCCCGGCTTCTCTGGGTCTGATTAGGAGAGGTGCCCCCTGGAAAGCAGAGATAGCCTGGAGCAAGGCATGAGTGGCTGGTTCCGGGCGGCATGAAGACCCTGCAAGGGCCCTTGTGGCCAGCCAGAGCCCGGGCCCTTCCTCCACAGCCCAGTCAGTGACTCAGTCCCTTCCCGCGTTGAATTTATTTTACTGCTGCTGCTACGAAACGGAACCCGAGGGGCCGGAGAGATGCTCAAGAGACAGCCCGGTCTGCCCTCTGGGACCACGTGGGCCCCTGGCGCTGCTGGGAGTGACCCCCAAGCACAGAGCCAGGAGCAGGCCCTAACACTGCTGGGTGTGGTCCAAAAAGCACGAAAAACGAAATTCACAAATTTTGTTACTTTATTTTTGGACATATTTGGGCTATAAGAAAGTCATTTCAATTTCCATCTGCTGTGCTTCTTGGCATCTCTAGTTGAGAATTCCTTGAAAGCAAGAAAACCTACAAATTGCTTTCAAGTGATTTTTATGATATATATTAATTTAGATTTCCTGTATCTCTGCAATTTTGAGTTGCTGTTTTTCTTCTCACGACTCGGGCATTGCTGATGGTGCCTGAAGCCTCTGGGTGCCCACGTGCCTGCAGGTGTGCTAGCCTCACATCGCGAGGAGGGGCTGTTGGGGGGGCTTGCCTGAGCAACAGCCCCTACAGACCGGAACCAGGAGGCTCCGCGTCAGAGAGAGCCCCGGCACGCCCCCGCATTGCTGGGTCAGTCCTGAGCACAGAGTCAGGAGTCGCCCTTGAGCACTGCAGGGCGTGGCCTCAGAAACTAAAGAGCCTAAGGAACCGGGAGGAACTGGGAGGAACCGGGCAGCCTGCAGGGACGCCCAGGTCCTGAGCTGGGCACACCCCTGCTGCTGCTGGCCTGGCTCTGGCCACCTCCCCAGGGACCAGCCGGTCAGTGCCCTGCATCAGAGAGCAGAGCGGTTGCTCTCGCCGCCTCAAGAGCACACGTGGTCCAGGCGCCCTGCAGAACAGGAGCACTGGGGCACAGCCCCATGGGGCTGAGGGGACCTGGTACCACCGCCTGGAGGGGCGCCTGGTCCCCTAGCACTGCCCAGGAGACCCAGGCAGGTCAGCCGAAGAGCAGGAGTGCCCACGCAGTCTCGCTTACTCTCCTCCCCACTCCCTCTAATCCTCCCTCTCTCCCCCATATTTCTCCCCCTCCCCCTCCCCCCTCTCCCTCTCCCCCTCTCTCTCCTCCTCCCTCCCACCTCCTCCCTCACACCCGCTTCTGCCTACAGGTTGCCCTGGCAAAGCTGCCTGTCTCTGGCTGCCAGCCCATGCGTGGGCAGTCCCTGCCCAAGTCTGTCCTGGGGCTCTGGGCATCCCCTGCCACCCACGGCCTCTCCTCCCTGCAGACTTGCATCCTAAGAGGCCCGCAGGCCTGCCCCTCGTCTCCTCCCATGCAGTCAGACGCCTGGATGGATGGCGCCGCCACTGATTCCCTCCCGGCCCCTCTCGGGAGGCTCTCACTGCCGTCGCCACTGCCACCACCCTCCTCGCCACGCTCCTCTCCAGCACGCCACCCTGTTCATTACCACCATCATAGCGTTACCGTCACCACCTTCGCTGACAGTCTCACCGTCGCCAAATCCTAACGGGACCCTCGCCACCGTTTATAATCACACCATCGCCGAGCGCTCACCGCACCCTGGCCACCCTCTCCCTCTTCACCGCCACCTCATGGTCACCTGTCACCTCTGTCACCTTGCCACCACCGCCCACCGGTCCGGCTGGGTCCCACTCGTAGGCCCGCCTGCCTTTACCCTTCGGGTCTGTCTTGGAAGAGCTCGCACATGTCGAAGAAATTCGCAGCCAACTTGCAACTTTCACAGAGAATTTAAACGACAGAGATGCTTTACACGGAAGGGGGGAGCTTAAATTGGTCGAGAAAGTGTGTGTGAAGTAGCCTTAGAGCTGAGACTTGGCAGCGGCTGGAGCAAGCCTGGATTCGCCAGCAGAATTGAGGAAAGTTCTGGAAACTGAGACCCACTGCTCACGTAATAGCCCCATCCCACTTCTAACCTGAGGGGGTGGGTGGGGCCAGGATTCTGCTTACCCGCTGCGCCTTTGGCTTGGCATGACACGGAGGACCGTCTGCACACTTAAGTGTGGTGTGTGCATGTGTGTCCCTGTGTGTGGTGTTTGTGTGTCTACTGCGTGTGTCCACGTGTATTTGTGTGTTGGTGCCTTGTGTGTTTCTCCGGGTGGTGATTGTGTTGTGCTTGTGTTACGAGTGTGAGCCATGTTGTATATGCAGTTCTGAGTACATGCGTGTGTGCCTGTGCGTGCATCCCGTGTGGGTCTGACCTGGTCTTGCCCAGTGCTCTAGGCTGTGCCCTGGGGGCCAGGTCCCACACAGACGCGTGTGTGCCTGTGTGTCCATGCGTGCCTTTGCCCATGTGCGTGATGAGTGTGTACATGAGTATTCGTGTGTGCGTGTATGCCCAGGAGTGGGATTTGTGCTTGCATGTGGTGAGTGGAGCGTGTGTGTGCGTGAGTGTGCGGCCCCAGGCCCTTGGCCCTGAGGTCATGCTGGACCCTCCCTGCTCTAGCGCCTGTCCGGGCGCTGACGCGGCAGATGATGCCACCGGGAGGCAGAGGCAGGAGCAAACCAGGGCCAAACCCTGCCCCCGATGCCGCGAGCCGCCTGGAGCGGGCAGCAGAGGGCACGGCCGGGGCCACTCTGACATGTTTCTTGTGTCAGGCCACACTTCAGGGAGAGGGTCCGTCTCTGACGGCAGCGCTCGGCAGCGGAGGAATTATTCTAATTCTGCCATAATTTACTATTTGGCCAAATTAACTAATAAAATAAACACACGCTGCTGGTGCCCAGCTGCCCCGTGTGACCTGTGCAGAAATAAAGCACGCGCGGGGCTGGAGATGCCACGCGCAGTCACGCTCGCGACAGAGCCCGCGGCGGCCGCGATGGCAGCAACGTGGTGATTTACTGGGTTCTTAGCTCAGAATCGCCATGAGAGGCTTTCTGCAGCCCGAGAGAAATGAGGACGCGCCTGTCTGAGCCGCCAGGAGAGGGTGGCGATATTTCTGATGCTCCTGGCAGAGTGACACCCTCGTCCATCTCGCTCGGCAGTTATTAAGCGCGGGGCCTGCTCCGCCCGCCTTCATCGATTAACCTGTGGCTCCGAGAGGCTTCGCAGCCTGGTGCCAGGTTAGAGCCCGGCCCAGTCTGTCAGCCAGGGAACCGCGAGGCCAGCAGTGACCCCTGTGCTGGCCTAGAGAAAGGGTGTGGAAGCCTCATGCCCCCCACCCCTCTGGCTTTGCAGCAGGGCACTGGACACAAAACGCACTCGCCGCTGTCTAGGGCTGCCCTGCTGCTCAGAAGGATGCCTCGGTACTGGGGGAGACTCACAGGGTGGGCGCCTGCTCTGCCTTCTGCCTGCAGGGGCCCGGCCACTGTCAGGAGTGGTCGTGGGGCCAAGAGCGGAAAGAAGGGAGGAAGAATTGGAAGGAAGGGTTGCAAGGA